GCTACGCAATATAATTAACCCAATTGTTATGAAGACATGTGCATATTATTTTGGCCTCTAGAATTTCCCATTAAAATTTTCCCCAGGGGTGGCCGGACACCCTGTATATTAATGTACGCACACTGTGTACACAAGAGACAGATAATATTGCACAATATTGCCTACACGTGTTCAAATATAATGACAAGGCTTTAACAATATAAATAAATACTTTTTGATCGTTTCGATATATTCCATGGATTAACAATATCAATCCTGGACGGTTAATGTTATTGTCAATGTTTGATGTTGCGGAATAATGCTAGATGCACTGCTAGATGCACTGTGGTATAGTGCAATTCCATAGTTTCGTTTACGTCTGTTTCTAAAGCTAATGATCGGTTTAAATAATTCCTAACCCACTAAACGCGAACATATCTTCAAGGAATATTGTGAAAATAGCAAATTTGATTGTGTAGCCTGTGATTTTTAAAACGTCGAGTGCACCTCAATGAAAATACAAGCAAATATGATAAGGAGGAACCATACGCCGCGCTAAAAGGATTCCGACATACGATAGAAGGCATCCATTCATCATATTCACCGACCATAAGCCGCTCACTTTCGCGTTCGCGTGGATATTGGATAAGTGTTCGCCACAATTCCGATACACGGACTATATCGAGCAATTGATGAACGACATTCCACCGACAAGTACACAATTTTGCACAGGACACAGAGACTACCCCAACAATCGTACGACCGAAATAACAAATTTGTATTACAGAAAATCAATTTCGAAACTTCATACAATATCATGCATAAACTTTCTATGGTTCTTTGCATATCGTACGCGAATAAGCATCCTCAGTAACGATATTTTGAAGTCGTGCCAGTGTTCGTATTGAATATTTTCAAGTTTCAGCGACACGATCGTCTCACGCGAGTAGTTTAATGACACGAGAGCGTCCCGGCGCGAAAAGGGCTATTAAGTCGGTTCGACTCGTTCCTATTCCTCCTACAACATCGAATCGGCGAAACGTCGCGAGAGCGAGCACGATACTTGGAAACCTTGGAAAGTTCGCCGTTCACGGATATATCGTGACTCTCGACGCGATCTCGTTGGCAGGAAGTATCGCGGAGATATCGAACGAGGGTGCACGACGGGAACGCGGTAACTTTTATCGCGATAACTTTCAACGATACTCCGAACACACTTCCCGCGGAAGTAGAAATTGAACGCAGCTAGTTGATCGCGAATCGTTCGATTAAAAAGTCCGGGCAACCGGTACCAACGGGCGCGCATGATTTGCATCCTGTTGCTGCCGGTGTCGTCGCCGTTCGCGTAATTAGTAATAACTGATTAACTAAACCGTTTCGAAATCGGATTATACGAAATCGCAGGGGCAAATCGCGGTAGCTCGTAAATCAGCTTATCCAGCTGCGACTTGTCCTTTATTCATTGTGTTTGCGCTTGTTTGCCGTTGCACTATGCGTTTACTGTCTATTGCCTCGACGGCGATAAATATCGACATTATCGTCGCCATTCGGTGAAACTTGTGTTCGTAAAAGCGCGCCATACGTGGACCTTAATGTCGCTCGAGTCTTCGAATCGTTTCCGCGCTGGATGATATTTCAGCAAGCAGACGGGACACAATATTATTGGCACCAAAGAAATAGCTTTTATAAATTTTTTCCAATTATCGGACACTCGATACAATTTTATTGGCGTGCAATAATTTTTACGCGTTCTATTGTGATCTGAATTCACTTTTCTCCAGCTGGACCACCAAAATATCATACTGCGCTATGGAGTATGTATTACGTCATCCACGTGGGTAGTTGGGTTGACCTCGAGAGGGTCGTCGAATCTTTCCTTCTACCCCAACCACCCCAAAACTGTTCCCCGAGAACAGCGGAACGCCAATTGTTCGGATAAGTGGAGGGAGACAAGTTGGCCCGATAAATCGGCAATAAAATACCCATTCGATGTCGCTCGGGCGAAACAGTTCGCGTGTTTTGAGTACGAGAGATTCCAATTACGCGCCTCCGCGTGCATATTTTTCCAGAGAATCACGAGTCAACCGGGATTTTAACATTTCTCGACTTGCGACTGTTAAAGACTTGAATACAAAACAAGAAACGCAATTATTCTTCTATGATTTATTCCGTTCGTTCGCGTGCATCTACGCACCCTTCTACGAGCCTCCCTTAATTTACATTTTCACCCTTCCGTCTACAATACTTCTGTTCCGTGATTTGAATCTCTTTGATTCGCTCCGAGGCTAATTCAAAAGCGCAAAGCTACCTGTAAATAAATCTTCCGAGCGTCCAAACAACGCCGATGTAAATAAGCTCAATTAATGGAGCACAATTTTTCCAGAAATACATAGATTAACGACACAAGCCATTATTGCTTTTTAATAAATCAAATATTAAACGAGCAACAGCTGCTGGAGCATTTATACGGCATGTCTCGTAGTTTTCGGTGGAAACATTGCCAGCGTGTTATGCGACTAGCAGTAAAACGAAAATGTCATATACACCTGGGTCCATAAATGCCTTACTAAAACCGTATAGCGAAAATACGAAACGTCGAGGAAAAGATTACAGTCTTATTTTTACAAGGGAATTTCCTGGAGCCTGGAAATTTACAAAATTTTGAAACGCTACGCAAGAGTAATGTATCCGTAACACAGAACTAATTTACGTCGGTACCGTAATACGGTAGGAGGTAAAAATCACGTTCCTTCGGAAAAATGCGGAATTTTCTTTCTCGCGGAGTGTACCAGAAATATCGAAAAGATGTTTCCACAATATAAATTTTATCGTTGCCTCCGCGTTTCATGTTTTTATTGCGACTCTTTTAACGACACAATTATGGACCTACTTTTATACGACATTTTCGTCGTATTTTTAGCCGCGGAACACCGTGGAAAATTGTCTACGGAAACCTGTGGAACATTCTGTACATCGGCGAAACAAAATCGTGCACGCGATACTCTTGTTAAAAATTCCGGGACCATACGCACGCCGCATCGGCATTACCGAATCCAGGGAAACCTGCATGAAACGCCAATTTTATTTTTTTCAACCTGTTTCGTCCGACGTTTCGAACCCAAAACGAATCGAGTAATGTACTGGAAACGTGTTTCCAGAATTCTTAACAACAGTTTTGGCGACACGGTCGTGTTACCGAGCGTTTAATAACGCCTACCAACTACGCGATCGTAAAAAAGAATTGTGGTTTTAAATAATGGAGTATCCGGATAACAACACGAACCAGAACAGTTCGCGTGTTAAACGATTTTGATGCTCTATAAACACTGGTGCGTTTTAGAAACAGCTGCGTTAAGATTTCTTTTGTCGAACAATATAAAATATCAACCATTGTCAAATGCTGACACCTTATTTATATTTTATATACATGTAGTATGAACTTGATACGCCCGGTGTAAACGTTACCGTTAAATTAAACGGCGCGTGCTATTCTAGTTAGTACGAATATGGTGTAAGCTAAATGACTCGTAGCCATTATTTACTGAATTAAACATTACGACGAACCATCGAGGACAAAAGAGGAGGCCCTACGAGTACCTGCAACGCGCGGGACACAAAAAACTCACGCCACAGTGGGTGTCCTAATCCCTAAAATTAGCGTCCAGAATAGACGTTAAGTCGTACGACACGTTTGCGAGTTAACTGCTCCAGATATTAAGCTGATATATTATTTCACTGAATTTGTACAAATATATCCGGAATTCGAGCATTTCTATTGTAACAAATTACCAGATGACTCTCAAAGCATATTTTTAGATATTTTAAGAGTTTTAAACTGTGTCACGAGCTTGAAAAGGTGAAAACCCACTACTCCCAGGATTAATCCGATCAGTCGAGAAGGAATAGCGTTCACTTAATTGGTTTTGAGAGAGTTAGATTAGTTTTTAACTGCGCAAAAGAACATGGTTCTTGGAAATGATTTAATAATTCGTGTTGGTGATAAATTTTTCAAGCACCAAGAAAAAATATACGTGTTTTTTTAGAAGAAATAAAAGCACAGTCTTTGCTACGAGTATGTCCACATGGTTGGTGAGTCGAAGTGCCTATTGCTGGCGTGTCGAACACATTTTAAAACCTGCCAATTTGCACTATGCTGCCGTGTCAAAGGGTCGCGGACGTGTAATTATTTAAAAATAGCCAGAATATTTTGAAGTCGTGCCAACACCAATCGTAACACCGACGTGTAACGACGTACAAGCGAACGCGTGCAGTTTCGAAAAGAAAACAATGGCTTCCAGGCGCTTGACAAAGCAATTACGCTCGAGAAATCGAAGAGTATAATTGTGTGTATTTTAAATAAATGACACGAAGAAAACTCTAACAAATTATGTAGTTCGTTCCGAAAACACGTGGCCGAAGAAGAAATTTGCTGAGAAAACAATTCGCTGGTTACAATTGTAACCGATCGAGGGAAAGTAATTAAGAAATGCTCGATCGTTGTCGGTATTAGGAATGGACAGAATCGTAATAGATGTGTAAGGCAATCTATGGTGTTTCAATGAATCACTTTTATCGCTACGTTCATTTTGTGTTTTACGCGTTAAACTGTGTATCGATTCAATTTCCTCGCACCTTGCGTTATCGAAAGGTTACTGCTCCGCGAGAATAATGCACATTGTTAAGAATAACACATTACTGAAATTGCCTTAAGTAGACACGCTCGTGTAAAGGCAATATGTACATGTAACGCGGAAGCATGTGTGAACTGACGAGGCAGCAAGGGGAGAGACAACTCGTCGACACGAGGCGAGTTCACCGTTGCAGTCGATTTCACCTAGCACTACCCGGCTATTTTCCTCCGACGATCCAAACAAATTACAATATTTCTCATCGACGAACCGCAGATACGAGCACACAATCCTATCACGAAGAGAAACGTTCGACGGAAGGAGAATACGATCGTGCCCGCGTGTCCGACATACCCCCGGTTTGGGAATAGAATTCGGAGAATCGGGACTCACCGATCATCGTAGACGAAACCCGCTTGCAGGGTGTTGCAATAGAGGGCCGTGGCGACGAGGGCGCAGGCTACGGCTAGGATATCCATGTCACATCGTGGCGAGGACGGTGGCGGCGGCAGCGATGTCGAGGGTAGCGGCGGCGGCCTCTTAACTTGTTGCACGTCCGCGGGCCTTCCTCCTCCACCACCTCCACAGCCCCTCCTCCTCCACCTCCTGGATCCACCGGCTCGTCGTACGGCGGTCGAGACGTCCGCCGGACGGTCCAGCGACCGCCGCTCTGACGCCTGCCCGGATGTATCTCGCCCGGGACGAATGTCGGTGACACGTCGCGTGAAACCAGCCAGTAATCCAGCCGCAGCTTCGTCGAGCCGTGGCGCGCGTCGACGATGGAGACGATGCTCCTCCGCGGTATCGTCGCGGACGCCGCGCACCGGCTACAGGGTGTACCGGGGCTGTCGTTTCTAACCGGTGGCCGCGACTAGGGATCGCGACGGAGAGTCCGCGCGGAGCATGGACGCTCCGAACCTTCCCTCAGGAACGAACACGCGCGATGAGGGTACGGCGGCCCGCGTGCGAATCTCGCGGGTTCACTGCTTGTTCCGGTTCCGTTCGCCGGCTGGAACCGAGAACCGTCACTGGACCGGCGTTTTCACTCGTTCATCCGTTCGCTGGATCGCCGGTCGATCCGACCGCCACCGAAGGACACCGTTCTCGAGGATAACGACTCGGGGACCGCGTCGCCCGTGATAAGTCGAATGTCAAGACGTCGCTCTGTGACGTTTCTACATCCTCTCGGAGCGACGCTCGACGATTGTTACTGTCGTTGGTCGACGACGACGATCAACCCTTAGAACCTTTCGCCACCAGCTGGGAGATACCTGCTCCGCGAGCAGAACTCGTCGTTTGCCGAGATAACGAAGGACACTGACAACGAGGACGAGCGTTAGACACGGTGTACCCGCGACGCGGCGCATGTTCCGAATGCGGAACGCCAACTGACGCGCGCCCCCCGAGGACGAGCGCTTTATACGAGCGGGAGACGGGCATCGATCGGACGGGCGCTTGCGCTTGCCCGCTCCTCTGGCTCTTCCTCCTCTTCCTACCTCCTCATCCTCCGATATGCTTCCTGGTCCTCCTTCGTCCCTCCGTTCCTAGCCGCTATGCTACTCTCTCCGCTGCCTTGGTTCCTCGTCTACGACCGGTCGCGACCACGACCACGACCGCGACCAACGGACTGGATTAACCGCAACCCAGGCGACGCCGGGTGACCGATGGCTGCCCTTTTGGAAAATGACGCGCGACACCGTACCCCCCCGTCGATGCACGCGTGCACCGTTGATCCCACGGACGAGTCGTCGCCGAACAGGATGTCTTATCGCGTTTCCATGCCGCCGATAGAGACCCGAGAGTGCAAAGCATCGGTCAGGTTCGCCAGCCAGAGGGAAATTGCGAGCAACGGAACCGCAGAGTCGCCGACAAGCCACCGAGACTCACGGCGATAAATATCGCGGAGCAAATGTGCAACCTTTTTTTTTTATCGACGATCGGATGATCGGATGCTTTGCTAACCGAAAAAAGTCCGTGACTATCGGAAATTATGATCTCGATGTCTCCAATAGTTTGGTGCCTTTTGTAACTGTATTTATTTATTGACCAGGACATAGGAGCCTGGTCGCTTCTGCCTTTCGAGGGTGAAATCAGTCTTGTTGATAGCAATGTAATTTCTCCACTGTGGTTGCTACGCCTCCGTCCTTGTTTCGCCTCTATTGCCATAGCTCTTTGTCTGTCATCGTCAGCTGATTCCTGTGTTGTTGCCTATGTATCTCTGCCCTCCTTCTCTTACGTCTGTTTCTCTCCCTGCCCTACTTGTCAATCCTTACTTCCTCTGTTTACCTATGCTATTACCTAAGTATCCCGTATTCCGTTACTATCCTTTGTCTCGACGTTCCATTGTTCCTAGCGGTTGATCAGCTTTCCGACCGTAGCGGAAAAGAACGAACCAAAAATTGTATTATCCGTGCGACGCGAAACCAGGGTTTCTGCAGTTTTCTGTCAGTCGTAAATACGTTTGCGAACGTCAACCTCGTTTTAAGTATGCTTTGAAAACAGGCAATCGCACGCTGTTTAACTTTCGAAATGTGTATTACTGGGTCAGAGACCGAATGAAACTGTGACGCAAACCGTGTACAGATACTGGTCGAAGACTGACCACTCATGGTTGCGTAGATATCGAGTGTCGCGGCGTTGAATGTTTAGAGAAGGCTTAGAAGCGTTGAAAGCAATCTGAAGGTGCCACTGTCTAATGTCCAAAGAGCGATAATATTGCTCCAATGTGTTAGGTCAAATATTTTAGTAAGCATTCACTGTCCACGTTTCCCTCACCGACGATGTCACATTATTCTTAACTCGAGCTTGATTTATCTTTGTTGCACCAATATACTGTATTTGAGCACAACCTCCTGCTCGACTGCTAAGAGGGCAATGCGCACCGTGTGACCGATTGCATGCGTCCCAGCTTCTATTTCTCTATTTTCATAGTCTACATCTTTTATGTATACTGCGGCTGCAAGCAAGTGCATGCTCCCTTTTTGCCATAAGCTGTTTGCATGCCTCTCATTTTCATTTCACTCTATTTCACTACTTACGCTTCCACGTCGTCAGTGTTCTTTTTATCTTTGTAATTTTTGTTACTAATAATCAGTTCCATTAACGAAAACCGTGGAATATTGCAGAATAGAAGAACAAAGTAAATTACTGCTGAATATTATATTCGTTTTGTTCATAATATATTATGGAAACAGAATATAAGAATATTATAGCGCGCTTAATTAAGGTCTCGATTTTATACGTCATGAATGATATAGAATTCGAATAAATTTTAATACCGGTATGAACATTTATCTCCGAATGTCCTCTAAATTGGTACTTAATGGGTTAATGGTCTTGGGGGACTTTATCCCAGAACATACAATAAATTCTATCTATCCATCTATTTATATAATTTGACTTAACTCCGGAAAATTAACATTTAACGTAATTATAGTTTTATTGTCATTGAATTATACAGGGCAACTCGCCTAACTCGATCAACTTACGTTACTCGAAAGGCAAGATATTTCAATAAAAGTCACACCGTAATATGCAATACAGTAAGTCACTTTTCTGACTAAAATTTTTGTTATAAATTGCTTAAAAATGTTTGTTCCGCAAAATGGCTGGAAATCTATGTGGTTAGAAGCCCCGCAATATTGGTAACAGTTTCGAAAATATTTACTTGGATCGATTTAAGTGGAACGCCCTGAATAGATAGTCATTAATGTTGTAAAGGGACTATTAAAAGTTTGTCGCGACTCTGTAACAACGTCGCTGTGCCGCGTCTTATTTATCGCCGCCGTGCATCCTACTTCAATTAGCTCTTGCGAGTTTAATTATCGTAAGAGCAGCGGCACATCGCGATACGGTATCGACCAGCATCCATTTGCGACTACGCCGCAACGATAAGAGAAGGAGATTGCGATCGCGTCGAGAGAGACAGGCGGGTCCCTCACAGCGAAAGTAAGAAGGGTAGATAACAGGTGTTGAAGGGATTCCGTGATTTCTTTCACGGCGAATGCTGGTGCCGCGCATAACGATATTAAATACGGTACACGGGGCTTGTAACCCTGTCCGTTGTTGTTGCCGTTTCAACCCCGCACTCGCTCAAATTACCACGATTAATCACCATAGTCGCGAATAATTAATTGCGCGCAAGGGGCTGCGTGAAGCGTACATTCATCACGAGTATTGTTTTAACCGTGCCAGTTACGCTCGGTGATAGTATACTTAGTGTTCCGTTGCGGTCGCCGAAGGAAGACATTGTCGCAACAGTTTTCAATCGATACGAAGCAAAAATCGTCGCTCGAGTCGCTGCCATTCACCCCCTAAAGTAGTCAAACTACTTTGGGGCACGAGCAGGTTTTGAAACGATTCGAAAAAAAGCACTATCACGGGAGAAGCTCTAATAAACCTGGCCGCCACTTAGCTCCCCCGTGGCATAAAGCAGAACACGTGGATGCCGCGGGTAACGAGGGCCGATCGAAAGTCACCGGCGCGGCGGTCCCGGAACGAAGCATGAGTAAACAATTCCGCGCACGGAATGGGCAGCAGGCGATTATATACGAGGGGAAGGGTCGAGACCATGGGGCTACATACATTACGGTGCACGTACACACACCGCCCTATCTAACCCTCCTTCTATGCAACGACCCTTGTCCACCTTCTTTCGTGTCTTCGTCCCTCCGAGCGGGCATCGCTCGTGACTGTCGACGCACGTGACGAGTCACGAGTCGACAGCTCGCTCGGTCACTCACCGGCTAGTGGAAGAGGAAAGTAAATACAGGGTGATTCCAGTAACTGGACCCTATCGAGGAAAGTTCCTTGAGTGTCCAATTAGTTTTCAAACAAATATTCCGTTTCTGCGGTTAGATAACAGGAAGAATGAAAAGGAAACAAGTGTTTCGTCCTGGGCCTGTTTAGAACGTACGAAATCAACCCTTGTATCCTAGATCAGACCCACGCGGTAGAATCGCGCTGTAGGCGAGCACTCACGGGGCAGGTAGGTGGTTTTTCTCGAAAAGATTGAATCGGACAGTGTTCCGGGTTCGCCCTCCTCGGCTCGCCGGGGCGTCGTGTGTATCGACGCGGACGCCCGTGCTCGATCGCGACAACGATCGCGTAATCAATTAGATAACGAGAATTCCCCGGAGGGGGGGTTGGGCGGAAAAAATGTTGCTTTCATTGGGGAAAAAAAATATTACTTTCCGGTAGCCGTAATGTAGACCGAGGCGAGCGTGTGGGTGCATCGCGGCGGGGCACGCCACGTTCTGAGGACACAGGCCACACTGGGCGGCGGGACGAGTGCATTGTGTGTGTGTGTGTGCATGTGTGTATGGCGTGGCTACCCTGTTATTTGTCCCACGCGCTGGCAGATTAAGATAATGGGCTAATGCGGACCCTCCGCGCCGTGCTGTTGCCGGCGACCGATGGTGGCGGCCGGACATCAGAGTGTCGGCGGGGGAAGAAGGGCAGAGATACAATGACCAGCGACCACGCGATCCGCCCGGACAAGC